TATATATACATATATAAAACAATTGATCTTTCTAGAAATTATTATACATATCAAATTGGTTTGGGGAGAATTATGAACCATGTTAGTTATAATTATGTCATTTTAAAATTAATACATGATACCTTGGGAAATTGTGAATTAATGAACTAGAATATTCTCAAACTATCATTTTAGTTATTCAACAGGCCCTGGAATCGTTTTGTTGTTGTGGGAGTTTTCTAAAGTATATTAAGGGTTAGTAGATTAGTTAGTATGTATCTTATATTCCATACTAACTTTTTTTCATTAATTCCATGGGAAATTAAAAAAAGTTTAAAATAATTCCTCAAGAAATATGCCATTTAACATGGCAGCTATATGCTCAGTACTACCATTAGTTTCATATTTTGGTTTTCTAACAACATATTTACTTGGAGTCATCAAACTCAAACTATTAATTTGAAAGAAAATGGCAAACAATTGCAAAAGTGATGAAAGATACAAAAATGCAAGGGAGAATAAATGCAAATATGTGGTGAACTCACATTCCAAAATAAGGCATTTATCTTCAGTGAAAATTTAAATATAAGGTCATTTATAAACAGGACTTGGTGCTTCTTCTTTGCAAAAGAGGCCAAAAATATTACTCCAAATACATAGGATATGTCAACATTAAATTCTGAATTTCTTCATAAACCTATTGGCTAAATCCACAACTAATCTGATGTTTCCTTGAATGGTTTTGCTGATAGCTCAAGGAGTAGAAAAGTTCAATCTATTTGCCATTGTAATAATAGGATATATTAGAAAAGTTCAACAAAGGACTTAAATACATTAAAAGATCATTGATAATATTTTATGCATTCATTGCTGTGCATTTATAAAGGCACATTAAGGATGTATTGACATGATGTCTCAGCCAGACTCTAGGAAGAATTTTAACAGTATTAGGAAAGGAATCTGAGAGAGAAGAGAGGAAAAAGGATGGACAAGGATGAAGAGGGAATTATTTTTATTCAACTTTTCTTCACTTCTGTGACATTTCATGATTTGAGAACCATAAATAGGCAGTGTAGCACAGTGGGATAGTCACCAACTAGGAGAGAGAGGAGCTGAGATCTCTTGCTTGCTCTAAAACTTACTAGCTTTCTCCTGTCCAATAAATGACTAAACCTCATTGTTTCTCAGTTTCCTGATTTATAAAATGATACAGTTATACATTAAAATTTTGAAGAAACCTTCCAGGTGTAGAATTTTACAAATTAATCTTCTTACCCAGCCCTTTCCTCTTCCAGCCTCCATAATTAATTCAGTAGCATGGCCAGTTCTGGAACCTCATTTAGGAGATCAGAGAAAAGGAAATATGGCTAGGTGAGGGATAAGTCAGAGTATAGGGAAACGGGATCTAGCTATATAAGCTTCCACACTAAAATGACCAAGTAATGGCTGATTGCTTGCCAATTATTTATTGTAACTAAATTTGAACACAGAAACTTGCTTGTTCTTTTTAAAATTACCTTCCAGTCAAACAATCTATCAAGTCAAGTCTTTAAAAATCAAACAAGTATCAAACAGTTAGCTAAGAAAAAAGATAAATCAAAGTAGATAAACTCTGCATATGTAATAGGTGATAGATGACAGGTAGGTATATCAATAAATAGAAATAGCTAAAGAGAGGTGATTGATAGAATACCTAGCCCAATAGAGAACCAATGACTTCAATACCTTGGTTTGCAACATTCTCAATGCCCATGGAGCCAAGATCATCACTGATCAATTGCTTGCCTTATAGAAACAAATAAAATTTCACTGATATTATGTATACACAAACAATGGAGGTGGAGAATGGCTCTAGGTTGTCTCTTCCGTTGTCCAATGTGATGTCAAAACTTACACAGATGAGGATGACATATTCTCACTTACAAGTAGCACAAACAAAATCCAGAGACTTTACCCAAGGCTTTGGAAACAAAATAACCAGTTGAAAACACTAGGTCAACAATGGAGATGCTTACAGTCGATTCATTGTGATGCTACCAATACCTGACAGTAATTTTCATGATAATCATGAATTTCAGTAGGAAACATATGATCCTGCAATGCAATTATTCACCCCCAAAACTTTCAAAGATTAAGAAAAAATTGGATGATGATATCGATGATGATGATGATGATGATGATGATGATAAAAAAGGTGATAGGAAAGAGAAGTGTTTCCTTGTTTTATTTTGTTTTTGCTTTTTGGCATCAGCTCTGTGTCTTAGACTTAAATCAAGAGTAACCTTCATAAATAACCAAATACCCATTAGAAGGCCCATGCTACTACCTAATTTTGCTACAATTACAGGGAAAAAATGGAGAGAAAAGCAGAGGAGAAATACAGAGATAATCTAGGGCCACCACCGTTAGTATATCTCAACTCTGAGGTTTGGGAAAAACAAACAAACTTGAGTTTAAAAATTAAGGAGTCCCACAGTTACAATGTCATTCACTACAATTTTCACTTTACTCATAAAAATAGACTGAGAACATAGCTACAATGTAAGGCAGAGGAAATCTTCAAAGAGGAACATCAGTTTATGTGACCTATACCTCCTTAGAATTCTCATAGGTCTTTTTATTGTTCACATAGAGTTTATCATATACTGACTTAAAATATAGTGGCTTGTACACATGTCTTTCTTTCCTAGTTGATTGAAAGTAACTACAGGAAAAGGATAATATCATATTCATCCTAATATTCTCCTTGGGATCTACCAGAGCATCTTTCAAAGAAAAGGCACTAAAATCATTTGAATTTATGAATGGATGAATGTTAGGATTATAGTGCAGTGTTTTATTTTAAGAAATGTGAGTTTATTTGATAAAAAATTCACAACTCCTCCTCCCATAATATAACTTAATTTTCCCTGTTTACCAGTCATACCAACTCCAAAAGCACACTTTCCATAATGAGAAGCATGAAAAGGGAAAATAGAGTCTGTCATTCTCTCCTCCACTATATACATTTTCTCCTCCAGTATATCATCCATTCTACTAAATGAATTTTTTATGACAGATGTAGTGGAAATGATTTCTTGATGTTTAACATATCCACATAAACAGGATCAATATAATACAAGACTGACATGCTAAAAGCAGAACACAATTGTATAATTAAAAGACAAAATGCCATTAGTGCTAAATTTCCATTAGAATACCTATTAGACAAGTAGATCAACTGTTTCCTAAGGAGATTGAAAAAATAAGATAGTTTGAAATTCTTTTAAACCTCTTAATTTACTTCTAAGATTTATGTGTCTGTATCTACATCTCTATATATGTGCATGTGGGTATGCATACATATGTGTGTATATATACTCATACATACATACATATATGTGGTGTATATATATATATATAATTTTGGATTTGCAGAGATGAAGATGCATGTATCTATATATACACATATGCATACATAATTTGTAACCATATATTCCTTGGGAAAAATCACACAACCAAATAATATAAGTATAACATAAAATAAAATTTCTCTTTAGAGTTCAAATACACATAACATTCAAGTCCTGTGCTAGAGAATATACGGAAAGGCATTCACTTCAGAGAGAGCAATGTGATGTGATTCAAACATTAAATACAATGTTTTAGAAAGCATTCTACATGAAAAACAGAACCTCTAAAACAAGTGACATCTCCTGGTCAAAGGCTGCACCATTCATTAGTAGAACTTGACAAATAAATTAAGGTAATTATGTTGACTTTTAACGGTTTTCCCCAAATTAAATTATACTAGAATGTTGTTGACCAAAACACAAACTATAAAAATGCAGGCAGGGTCTCCTTTTACTGACACATAGCACTTAATATAGCATTATTCTGTCAACTTGAATTTTCACATTTCAACCCTTAATGTCAGGTGTTATATATTGCAATTTTCAGGTTTGATTTCAATAAATGTGCTTCATTTGCAGGTGGCACATATATAATCATTCTCAACCATGTATTTTTATAAGATTCATAGTGTTAAGATTAAAAGAATTCAAAATACATTTCCTTTAAGAAAAAAAATCTTAAAAGATTAAGTACCAAGGGCATAATCATTGAATCAGGGTTTCCACATGGTTACTTTAAAAAAAAAACAACTCTTTAAGATGTTTGCTTTAGTCGCACATGGACTAACAATGTTACATTCCACACATACTATTTCTTAATGTAAACATGAATAGCCACTACATTTACTAAATGAAATATAAAACAACATGCTTTAAAAAAACAATGAAAATATCCAGCAGTGTTGTGCCAATACTCTCCAAAAGTGCACATAAATGACTTACCAAGGGATGCAGTGAAGTATACCTGGGTGATTGATGCTTATACCAAAAATAAATATAAAAGAAAAACCATACGTTTCTTGGCTGTCTGATCCTCCTCCTTCTTCTCCTCCTCCTTCTCTGTTTCTTATACTGACTGTTCTTTGAAATAAACATGAAACTAATGTGAATGGGGAAAAATCTCATAGACAACAAAGGGGTGGGACTATAGCAGAGACCACTTAAAGTCAGTGCTATACATGCTTTCACTTACATCCAGATGTAGAATGACTTGGACAGATGTTCTCCACAGCTGCACTCTCTTGAACATGACATGCTTATGTTGGCTACACTGAGTATTTGAGTTTTCATAAATAGATAACAGAAAATGCATACCTGAAATTGTGGCTGAATCTTGTACATATGTATTATGTCAGCTTCTGATAATATTACTACCTTATTTGTACCTTTTAAAAAATAAAACCAAACTAAACAATAACAACAAAAACCCCACTAAAACTCAGAACAGAGTTTTTGATAAATTTTTGATAAATGTCTATTCTTACCTTAGGTCCATGAAATAATAAAGCACAAGTATACCTACCTCACAGGGCACATTAACAATACTAAAAGGTCTAAATATATTTGCATTGCTTACACATATTCTAAATTATACAGATGGCATTAAAAAGAAAGAAAATAATGTAATACCTTTACTTTTACCTATGGATTTGATGAAATGGTTCCATGAAGAAAGGATTTCCAGACAAAGAGAATATAGAGGAGAGAAACAACAATAAGAATTATGTAAATGCACTAATATCTGAAAATTAAAAGAGACAAGAAAGTATAAATAAGTGTTTGAAGACAAATGGAGATGCAAACAGCGTCACAGGGGAATTGTGTTCATTTCCTTTATTCATGTACATGCAGAGAAACTTTGATGTCCCCATGCTCACTTTAAAAGGATGACCCAGATGAGAGATACACAGTGATTGGAGAATGGGAAATTCATTGATTCTCTGATGGAAACAACAACAACAACAAAAAAAAAACTGCACTATCAGCATTCCGGAAAACAGGAACAAATGCTATCTGCATATTCCCAACCAGCCATGCATTAATGCCAATGGACTCTTCAATGGCTCCAATAGGATAAAATTAATATCTACTTTCATGTGGTAATTAGGGAGAGTTCTCAAATATTTTTATATCAATACCCATAGCTGTATTTACATATGCATTTATGGATTGTCTCAATCACATTTTTCATGTTCCATTTCTTTGCAGTTATTATATTTCAAGGGACAAAGGGAAATGGAAACATAAGGGCAAATGGGGATAAGAGGAAGGAAAAGAGGAGGGAAGCAAAAAAAATAACACAACACAGGATGTGACTGAATTAATGTATTTAATTAGCAGCCAGAGAGTTTGCAAGCATTTGCCCATCATTTTGCAGTGATGGATTCAAAGCAGCTACAGAATAAGAAGAAACAATGAAAGTAGAGTGGAAAAGGAACAGAGCCCATACCTTGGTCGCCCATCATCAGGTGCGCCAGACCTTGAAGGAAAACAAGAGCACAGTCAGCAATGAACAAGGGAGCATGGGAAGATGGGATTGTCACAGTGACAAAAATGTTCAGTGACAGACATCTTGTTTCCTATGAGATATGTCTGTATCACAAAGGCAAATCGAAAAGCATTCTTTCAAGTATAATTTGGAATGCTTTGGGGCCAAGAGTTAGAGAACCACAACTCAAAACACTGGCAGATGCACCACCATGAATTGTTTCTATGTATTAGTTGGGACAAGGAAATGCATTAAGAGAATGATTTGGAGTTCAACCAGTCCCTTAACATTCCTTTTCTCCTTTGTGCACTTGGTTGAGTCAGTTTTGATTGAACACTGCCCCATCAGGACTAGCCATTTTTCTCTGATTAAATTTTCATTAAAAATAATAAAACCCAAAGGAATGTAACCTGAAATATGGGCTGGGTCTGATCTTTTTCCCCTCATCAAAAATGAGCAGTTTCATAATTAAATGAACAAATTTTAGTCACATTGAAATGATAATGCAAAGGAGATTTCCTTACTTAGCTAAGTACATTTATTCTAATACTGAAAAGGTACTAGACATGCAATGCAAACTCAAGTTTCTTATGAGAACATGCTTTGGAGAAAGAATAGATCAATTTTCAGTAGGTCTAACTAAATTTATCAGGTATGGTATTGGGAAGCTATTTAGAATTTTATTTCATTTTGAAGTTTAAATATTTATAAAGCAAATATCATGCAGTTCTGAAAGATGGAAGACATAATTTCAACAAAGAAAAGTTCATACATATTATTTGAAAATGCCAGTGAATCCCATCTTTACATCTGAATAGTTTTTAACTACTCATGTCTGAAATTTAAGTTAACCTTAATATAATTGTCCCTCCTTTTGAAGAACTCCAAATTGAATGGTTCCTTATAGGCAATGGAGACCCTCGAATGTGTTAGCATTTTTTTTCTCCTTACTTTCAATTATCTCAAATCACACAAATAGCCCATCAAATAACATACTCTGATTTTAACAAAAAGACAGAATTCTCAAATTCATTAAAGAAGATTACTCACCAATCCACTTACATTTTTTAATTTTTTGTGAATTTAAAAAAGATTTCTCTGCCTCAATTTCACTTAAGTCTAGATGACTACTTGAAATCATCTGCTATATTTCTAACAGATTTTTTAAAAGACATTTCTATTATCAGTAATTTTGATTCACAAGAAGTGTGCCACTAATCTGTGTTGATAATGAAAGTAACAGTGCTATTTTCACAAAATTGTACTGATATACATTGCATTATAATCAAATATGTATTTATATATTACATATAATATAATCATTATACATATAATCATATGCACATGATATAAAAAAATAACATGCTTCTTGGAACAGAATTCTGTTGTATTTTATAACAGAGAAGAAAAGGAGTAGATTAAAGAGATTATGACCTGCTGATGTGTCCAGATCCAGGAATAATAGTCACAGTTGGGAATTGTATTTTTGAAATAATATCTGATCTGATAAACTACATGTTGTTAACATTTTTCTTTAAATTGTCATATTTATTGATGTAATTTTAATTTTTAGATAATAGGATTAATCTATAATGTTTACACATACTTTGTTGAGTAGGTCAAATATATATAATCTCCAGCCCTGACTTCTTAAAACATAACATATATTGTTACTATTACTCATATTTAATGTAATAGTCACAGAAGGATATAATATTCAGAGAGATAAAGATAAAGAAAATCTTAAATGATAGATAGGTAAGTAGAAATGGTACTTGAAATAATTCTATTTAATAGAAATGTAGAGTAAGTTAACATTGGAAAAACCATCAAAACTTTTTTTAATGAATGTTTATAACTAAATCCAAGGAAATTCCATTCCAAAGGTCAGTTTGACTACTTTTGGAGCATACTGTACAAAACAGTCAAGGAACCAGAACGAATTGAACAGAATAGTTCCCTCTGCATTTAGTTCGCTTTCAGGTGCATAATAAGCATTTAATAAATGCTTGTAGATAGCTTAAGTGGTTCAATTCACACACTGAGTGGGAAATTTATCATATTCAAAACTATCATTCAGGATCCCATGCAATAAATGTCTGCAACAATAGTTGTAAAGAAAAATGGGAGTGATAGCTAGTGACAACCCTAGGAAAGGAACTAATTTTTAATTATTTGCTAAATATTAAGTGACATAATAGCAATGTTCAGCAGCTCAATAATTATGATATCATCTACAATAGCTATAGATATGATGTGGAATTATCCTATTACCACCTTCTAAGTATTACCACTTAATTATTTTAATATCTATTATTTAAACCTAGGAATTTAAATGACAACAAAAAACTATGCTGGAAGGTTTTATCTTTCTTAAGAGCCTATGATGTTATGTGGAAAAGAAAACACACATCAGTTTCTACTATTCGATTATACTTTGACTAATTTTATGATATAATGAAATGTAGGTATTAATTTCTCGGACCCATGAACTTTGTTGCATTGTGTATGTCAAAGCTAACAATTAATATGTCTATTCCAATGTGTAACTAGGAGTCCTTCAACCTACAGTTTTATGCCACCCACAATTTTCTTTCCAGTTTTGTTATTTATATTAGGACACTTAGATATTTAGTTGAAGGCACTCAGATCAATTTTTTTGCTAGGCATTTAGTAAGTTCAAATTAAGATGGTGTGGAGGGAGGTGGGGAGACTTTGACATTTGCATCCAAAAGATCCAACCAAAGAATATCTTATAGATATCTAATTCCCTAAAATTTTGATTTCCAATGGAAAAGCTCACAGATTCTCATGCGAACAGATTTGTATCAAGTTTAGTGTTTGATATAATGTAATACAAAATCTTACATTTTTACTTACCAACATTCAGGTCTCTGTGCAATAGGCTTTAATGTCCATTGACCCACTGGTTGTTTTGAAATCTAGACAAGGACCCCTTATCATTCTTCATCTTATACTATGGCATTTTGTAAACCAAATGATTTAATTCTAATCAATGGACCCCAAATGATATAATGCTTGATATTCCAAACAGAAACAAAAAAATATGTCTTGGCCAAATAAAAATAAAGAATGGATCATGCATTATGTGTGTGGATGCCAGAATTACTTTCTCCTAAAAACTAAAAGAATACTTTGTACCAATTTTTCCATACAGAATTTGACAGTCAATGTTCCTTATTTATACATGATACTCAATTCTACTGAGCACGAAATTACCAATTGGTAAGGTTAGAATATAATGCACCTAAAGTGAAAGGGAAGAAGAGTTCTGTATGAAAAGTGGTACTTAGTCAATGAACCACATTTGTTAAAAGACATTCAACTTACCTTTTTTTATTTCTAGGTGCACCATTTTACTACTAAAATAAAATAAAATAAATTAAAAGAGAGCTTAGAAAATAAGATGGAAAGTACCCACCTTCCACATAGTTGTCTTCTGAAAGCACATAACAAGGAAGGAGAGAAAAGGGAAAAAAAATATTCATTAAGCAGCATGCAGACTGGAACTTGCCATTGCATGTCTTCACCATGCAAGGCATCAGACACAACATGCAGGTGCTCCATTGCTACCATTCAGAGGGGAGAACACGATCATGGGATGTGGGAAGCCATGTTCCCATTAACCAAGAGAATTCACAGGGGTGGAAAAGAAAATTAGAGGAATGTTGCCATTTCCAGAGCAAAGGTATTTAAGGAGTCCCCTGCACTACTCCTCTGCATAAAGCAGATTTGGTTATTCTAATTTGTTGTGAGTATAGTTTCCTTTGATAAAATCATTTTATATAGCTAAAAGTTTTACTTTGGGTTAAGAATTAGATAATTTATCACTTTATAGGAATGTATCTGGTTTATGTATTGAATATGTAAATTGCATATTTTACAGTAATTCACTATCAAATTGTATTCATATTTATAATTATAAAAATGTGCATAATGTCCCTTTATCAACATGGATAATTAGCATTTCTAAGAACTTAAAAGGGATTTTTTAGATCAAAACAATAAAAGTGAAGTAGTTATAATATATAACTTATTTGTGGACATTTTTATACTTTTTTATGGTTTCCTACAAAGTATATCAAAATTGTAAACTCTGAAGGTAGACAGATTCATTTTTGTATTCTCTGTAATGCCTAATAAGATGTTTTAAATATAGTAGGTAATCGACAGAAAGCTGTTGAAATGAATCACATTGAAGGTGTTGACTCCTAATTTCCAATAAGTATAACTACATCTTTTTTTAGGTTATAGGCATTAGGGAGCTGTCCAATTGGCCCAATTAAGTCAGTGTTTAGCATTCAACATGTGCATCCTTTATGAAAGGAGTTGTTACTGTAATAGCCAATCAAGATAAGATCATCAAGTCTCCATAGAGTTTAAAAGGTATTTTTCATTATTTTATATACACTTTCCATATTAAATGAAAATGAAGAGTAGTGTTAGTCTACAGCAGATATGTGTTGGAGAATTCAAGCATTATGGAGGGAAAAGACTTGGATAGAAGTAGAAAAAGAAGAATTTGGTGGGGAGTTTTTTTAATCGCTTTTCTGTAAAATTAGGGAATTGGATTAGATGATCAATAAATTTCCTTCTAGATCTAAAAATGTTATGCCTATTAATAAAATTCTCTTGGTGATAACTGATAAAAAAAAAATCAGGTTCCCATTAGCTTATTTTCCAAAAACATCCATGATTAGAAAATGAGTAGGCTTTATCCATACTGACATTCCTACTCTCAAAATTTTAGATTACTTATTCAAATTTCTTATTTTGAAGCTCTTAGATTCAAATAATTATTTTAAAGAAAACCTCAACCACTAACTTTAGAACTATTGAAAGTAGATATTATAAACTCTCTTGGGTAGAATACATTTAAGGTTCAAAACAACCTTAGAGGTCAACTAAACCAACCCTCGCACTTTATAAATGAAGAAAGCAATGCCAAGGGAAGTTAAGTGACTTGCCCATGGGCACGCAGGTAGTAAGTATCAGAGTCAGGAAGGAAATCCAGGTCCAAGATTTCAAGTCTAGCACTCTTTCTATTACCTCACATCATCACCAAATTGATATTGTCAGCCCCTAGTAAAGGTAAGAACTATTAGTTATATGGAAAAATTAAATAATATTAGTTGGAAAAAACAAAGATCAACAATCTACTAATATGTTGACCAATATTAGATATTAAGAATTGATAAGCATTGGTAATAAAAACACAAGTCAACTAGTTTGAATACAGTTTTAAAATGATGAACTAAAATAACAGCTAGGTGGTTTTTGTTTTGGTCTACAAAACATCCCTTTTTTTTTTAGCTTGTCAATTTGTAGTTTGGGTATTTATAATTAAAGCTTTGATATTTTTTGTTTATTGCTTAATACAGAGAAGAGATAGATTGTAGCAGGGTGTAATGCATTTAATTTTTTATTGCATATTTTATGCCTAAGTCATAGTATTTTCTTAAATCACTAACCAAACAACTGTTTGAAATGAGTTACAGTAAAGAATTAAGGATCTCCATTCAAAGTGACTAACAAAGAAAAAAGCTGTGAATATATAAAGCAGAAAAGGAATGAGAAGACAGTATCACATTGAATTTCAGATCTATTGGTACATTTGGCTTTGGTGAATAAGAAACTGGAGGTCATTGTCATGGGTAAGTTTTGTTGAGTAACAGTAGATACGTATAATCTTAAAATGACAAACCATTTTGGTTCAATGTAACTGTTCCTAAGGAAATTCAAAATGGGTAAGAATGAGCACAGGCTAGAGGCATCAAGAAGTTCTGTTGGGAAACATTTTTTGTCATTAAGATCCTAAAACACATAAAAATTTTTTAGTATGATTTCATTTTCTTTGTCCCAATGAAAAATGAAGAGCCATGAAAAGGCCACTTATTTTTCCTCTTTCCCCCTCCAAATAGTTTGAATCACTTTCCCCATGGAGAAGAAGGTCAATTTGGGTCCTGAATGTCATTTTTGTTAACAATGTTAATGGTTTATTGCCATTGAATAGAGTTGCAAAACCATTAAGTAGTATGCTTTGGATGAGTATAAACCAGCATCTCAGTGCATGTTTCTTTGGCCTCCAGCTTAAAAAATTTAGTGAAAGCAACTTTAGTTATAATGTCACTGTATGTTGGGCTCAATCTTAATTACATGCTTTTAGTGTAAAAGGAAAAGAGTAGTAAAATAAATGTGGTCACAAAAAAGAAACTAAATCAGGACCACTGAACAAATTAAAACATGGAGAAAAATAGAATTAATGACTCCATCTGATGCAACTAAATCTTAAAATGAGCAACATGGATTCAGCTTATTTAAATTTTTTTTCTTTCCAATACAAATGAACATAAAATATAAAGAATCTGAAATTTGGGAGATTCTTTGCATTTTTGTTTTACTTTTTCTGCCTCTCTACTACTGCTACTATTACTGCTACTGCATGCTGGCTGGCTGAGGGATCCACAGAATTAAGTGCCTGTTTGTATAAATTTTTATTTCCTGGATTGCAGTGACTGAAGAATCAATCCCCCTTTGGGCAGCCTACTAGGGATGGGCATCACCATACATAGTTAGACATTCCTGACTAGCAAACATATTCTCTCATCAGGACCATATTTTAAGCCTCTGGGGCATTGCAAGATTTGTTGACACTTATACTCTGCTGGCTTAGCTTTTGACAAGGATGTCATCTTCATGTCATGAGCCTCAGAATAGGACATTCAAGGCAAGATGATGGCAGATTGCAGTGCACTGGAAAGAGCAGAGTATCTGGTGGAAAAGTTGAGTTCAAATCTTGTCTCTACCACTTATGGTTTGTGTGACCTTGGATAAGTCAATAAATTTGAATTATTTTCAATTACCTAATTGGTAAAATGTGGGTATTGAACTAGATGATTTATAAGGTCCTTTCCAGACTTAATCTATGATGAGAATGATAATAAGGTTGGAAAAATTTAGGGAAATAACATGTAGCAGTGGATCATGAATTCCAATATGAAAATTGAGACATTATAATTTAGGGCCCTTTTATTAATCGGATTTGTTCTGTGAAGTTTGGATTCAGTCAAAAGGCCACACTGTGGCCTTGAGTCACAGGTTCCCCACCCCTGATTTAGGGCATGGGTATTCCATCTCAAATTGTTTAGTAGGAAAAAGATACAATAAAAACAGGACTTTCTTAAAGGTTATTTGGGAGCCGTGTGATTTTCATCTGTCTTGTCCTTATCTTTGCATAGTCCATTACTCATTCCTGAAATGCACTCCATCTTTACTTCCATCTTTGACAAACTCTAGCTTCCTTAAAGGATCAACTCTGGTAGTACCTTCTTAGGGAAACTTTTACTCATCCTCCTAGTTATTAGCATTCTTCCCTTCTCAAATTATTTTGTTTTTAAATATTTGTACATGCTATATTCTCCAGTAGACTGTAAGCTTTTGCGGAGTTGGGATTTTTTCTTTCTTTCTTTTTTTGTCTTTGAATCCTTTGAGCCTAGTATATTGTCTTTTCATAGTAGGCAACTAAGTTTTTGAATTGAGAATATATATGTGTATATATATATTAATATCATAATTGCAATAATTTATATAGAATTTTAATGTTTACAAAATATTTTGCCTTTATTATCTAATTTCATCCTCCCACCAAACTTGAGATGTAGACATTAATGTTATACTGATTTTATAGATGAAGAAACCAAAACAGATGGAGGTGAACTGATATGCCCAGGGTCAAATATGTTGTAAGTGTTTAAAGTATGCAGAGATTAAGTGACTTGCCTGGGGTCATATTAAATGTCTGAGGGCATTTTTGAACTCATGTTTTTCTTTCACCAAATCTGGTACTCTATCTACTGTGCCAACTTGCTGCCTATAGATGTATATATCTATGTATTTGTGTGAATATGTATATATAAATTATATATGTATGTATTTATATATGTACTTGTATATATTTATATTTATATCTTAATCTAAATCTAGCTAAGTGCATTGTGACATTCAGCTCCAAAATATTTAGTTCCAGCTAATTGCAATTTTTCAAAGGGCAATCTGATAGCAAAGCAGATTTTCTTGCTGCTTAACCTATTGCCTTGATGTAGTACAAGTTCCATTTCCTATGTCAAGTAAGTAATTATTATTCAAAAGACTCAACAATATAAGTAACCAAATATTACATACTTTACCCACCACTGGACTGATGAGTAAACACATTCTTAAAAGTGTCAACACTAGGGAATAACTTTACTAGGAAAAAAGGCTTCCTTCTATATTGTATTTATCATATATTTGTTGATTTTTGCATATGTTATTTCCCCTATAAGAATGTAAGTTTCTTGAATGTAGATCATTTTTTAAAATGTTTTAACCTTGGAACTTAGCATACTTCCTGGTGCCAATATGGTTTTAGTAGCTATATAATGGTTGATTGGTTGCTAA